GGGGGGGGAGGGGGAGGAGTCCGAGTTTGGTGGTTTGCTTGCAGACGTTTCATTACCTGACTAGATAATATCTGATGTTGTTACCTAGTCGGGTAATAAAACGTCTGCCAGCAAACCACCAAGTTCAGGGAGCGCCAATGCCTCCTCATTGCAACCCTGAGCGACAGATATTCTCTTCTATTGGGACATTTAAAACGGAGGGTTTCAGCTGCAGATTCAGGAACTGCGCCGGGCTGAGGAGCGCCTTCAAAACTGAGCGCTGGGCGGCGGCGGCCCGCGGCTGTCTCCGTGGCTCAGGACAAGTCCCTGCAGGATGGCTGAGAAGCCCCGCCTCTCACCCCTGCCTCCCTCAGCCTCATCCCTCAGGTGTCTCCCTTCCTCCCTCAGCCTTATCCCTCAGGTGTCTGCCTCGTTCCTTCGGCTGAGTAAAAGAGGCGAATAGTTATTATTCTCAGCCAAAGCTACTCCGAAACAACCAGAAACGAAGGCAGGCAGAATGGAGCACTGGATTGAACCGTGGGCGGCGGGGTGGGGGTGAACGGGCGCTTCGGAGGAGCTGCGCCGACAGGAAAAGCCACCCTGCCGGTTTCTTTGAAGCAGTTTCTTCCTGGGCTGGTGGAGGAGCGAGAGAGCGACTGAGAGAGGAACGAGGCGGGAGGAAACCGAAGCCACTGAGCCGGAGAGCAGGACAGGCTTTGGTTGCTTCCTCCCTCCCCTTCTTTCATTTGTGTCCTTGATCCCTGATCCCAGCAGCATTCACCGAAGGCGAAGAAAGCCGCCATTTTTATTTTATTTTTATTTTCTTTGCGGACCGGTACCAAATGATCCACGGACCGGTCCCGGTTGGGGACCCCTGAAGTAGTTGAATTACAACCTCCTTCATTTTCAGTCAGCAATATCAGTCACTTTCTGGTTAATAGTTATGGAAATATTAGCATAAATTGAGGAAGATTATTTTAAGTTTTTGAATATAGTAATATGCATTGCCATTCTTTACCATAACATGAACTTTAATATGACACATTTTTTGTTGGTTTGCCATAGACTCTCTTGGAGTGCCATCCAGCAGGAATAAATACTCATACCTGTTTAAACTTGCCAGATCACATTTCAGAAGAAGCCAGATCACTCCTTCAACAGGTAAATTCATGATGAATATGTATAAATGGTGTACTCCTTGCCACAGCTAAAATGTATGCCATATATTTTACTGAACATATCAAAAATGTTCAGTTTATTATATTACAAAAATGTAATAAATGGATTTTTTTTTCACTCAATGGAAATGACAGCCTCTTACCACCTTACAGCATTAATAAAATTAGCTTTGTTCTTTTCATACTTGATGGTGTAAAGGGTTTCCTATCTTTCCTATTTATCTTTAGAAGCTTTTATAAAAGATTTGGGAGTAATGTTTAAATTCAGCATCTGAAAATGTACTAATAGGATTGTGGTTTATCTTAGTGTCCCCAGTAGCTACATCTTCTTAGCAGTAAAATTCTGTTTAATATATGAACAAGTAAAGAACCTAAACTATTAATGCGTAGGGTAGAAAAGTCCTACAAAAAAGTCCTATAAAAAACATAGGAGCCAGTTTTGCCAGGTAAACATGAATGAACACTGGACTTAATTATTTAATTTTGGAAAGGAGGAAAGAAATGATAGAGAAGTACAAAAGACCTATCCACCTGTTGTCACCAAATACAGCTAGGGCACAAAATTGCTGCAGAAATCCATTGATTTATCTTTAATTATTTCTCCTGACATAGATGACTTGGGAGTAAAAGTATATTTTTAATATTAAAGTTAGCATAATCTATTAGGATTTAAAAACATGCTAAAACTTGATTATTGTAATAAACTTTGATGATGGAGCCAAACTGATTTAAATCTGTCCTGTTGTATGAATGTTATGATTCTTATGTTTTGATCAGATCTAGTTTTTAAAAATTGTGGTTATTTTTATTGTTTTAATCTACTTAAGTGGGTAGGATTATAAACCATTTATAGTCAGTATTCAGCGGGAGTAGTAGAAAAGTCTCCTAAAATAAATAAATAAGAATAAAAGTATACATGTGCTATTAAGATCAACGACTTCATCTAGCTTTTAGACTTGTAGAATAGAGGATATTTTATTCTCCATCCCAGAAGGGAGACTGAAAATGAATGGAATTTTACCACTGGTATCTTTGGGAGTTTATTAAAGCCATACATAGCAACATCTAGCACTTTATGCCAGACATTTGTTATTTTCCCTCCTCCCCCAGGTTCAAGGTTACCCATGTCCAAAAGGAAGTGTTTCATCTCTGGGCTGCATGTGGCTGACTTTACAGTTGAAGAGTCTGCTCCATTGCCTAGTAAATCAACTTTCTTTTGTGTGTCTTTCGAAGGAAACTACCATTCATTTTTGAGGAAGCTTTGTCAGGAAAAGGAAAAAGGGACTCTTGGCATAGCTAGTCATTTGTCATTATGATTTTCCTCTTCCACCCCGCTTCACAGGTTGCTTGGGTCAGCCCATCACAGAATGTCTAGGAGAGAAACACTGTGCAGATACATGCCAAATGTGTCCCATGACATGGATTTCAAAATCCGTGACCTCATTGAAAAAATAACACCCCACCCCGATCTAGCCAGCTAGTAGCTACATACTTCAGAGGCATTATTTCTTATTTTGATTACCTGAAGATACAGATGAAATTCTTAAGGCTCTCTTAATTGACATCAAATTTCTTGAAAGCTGTCCCAGTTAGCATAATAACCAGTCTTCTTTTGAACAGTGCAGCTTTAATGCAGTTTATTTTGTATTTTCTTTCTCATATTAAAAGTCCCCCCCCCCCAATCTTGTAACTGGGAAAGCCTTGAGAACATAAATGTCTTTGTACTTAACTTTTCCACCTGGTATCAGCTGTTATATTTTCCAGAAGAGGATCTAGTGACTGTTTTCTGACTGCTTATCTACTAACTCATGTATATTCACAAAGAAGGCTTGTTTTGTTATCTGAGTTATTTTATTAAGTGAGGGTTAGAGCAGTTTTAAGTGGCAGAGCCAACTTAAGATGTGCAAATGAATACATTTTATGAGAAAATCTCTCTCTTTGATTATTAGATGTATGCATATGAAGGCATGCGCCCCAAATAATACCAAAGACAACTGCATTATGCTATAGTTCCCTTTAAAGGAAACTTAGAAATGAAATTATTCTTTTGAACTGCTTATTTAAAATGTGACAGACTCATAAGAAGGAAGAAATGTAAACTTCAGTTCCTTTATCCTTTGTAAATATTTTTATGCTTTGCTGGTTACTTCCTTTCAAACATTTTCCATCAGAAGTTGCACATAAGAAGAGTTCACTTCACTTTCTATGTATATATTCATCCCCCTTTTAACTTTAATGTGCATTTTTTTTTTAAAAAACCTACTTAGTATTATTATTAGCAATCAATCCTACCATTTCTTTACATTTCATTTGTGAGTCTTTAGCTGCCAAAGCTCCTTGGGCCTCTTTGAAGACTTTTTTAGATAAATATTTTAATTGTCTGAAAAGCATCAGTTCCTCTTTGTTTCCTCTGTCTGAACTGATCACATTGGTTTTCACTGAAACCCCGTGCTGGGGCTACCCATCAAGGAGTATTTTTATCTTTTCCCATATGATTTAAACAAATACCTTTCGCATGTAGTGCAAATAGGCATACATTCTGTGACATACCTTCATTGTGCATCTGTGTATCTTCAAGATTCCTGGCAACTGCCTGGACTTAGTCCCTCAGTTTTCTTGGCAAGATTTCAGAAGTGCTTTGCCATTGCCTCCTTCCTAGGGCTGAGAGAGAATGACTGGCCCAAGGACACCCTGATGTCTTTTTGGGTAAAACTTACAATGTCCTGGTTTCTAGCCTGATGTCTTAAATCAGGTAAAAGGAAATTTAGTTTTCATCTACACTAAGTGGAGACTGTCCATCTTTTTTCCTTGTATTTTTTGTAGGCTAATAAATATAAGAGGCAGTATAAAATATCATGCTCTAACAATGACAACAGAGTGTTTTTTAATACAACAGGTATTTGCTGATATATTCTTTTTCTTCCTCTTAATCTGCACTTACAAACCAGTAAGTGGAATGTTCAGGATTATTTCAGAAAAAACTAAGGCTTAAAGGAGCTGATATTTGATAGTTTGAAATAAAATTACTGGCAGTTAACTGCCATTAATAAGTCTCACGTATAGTGTAATAGGTTCTTGTTGCAGATAAAATTCAGATAAAAATACATATATACTCAAGCACTGGTTTTGTCTTCCTAGCCCCACCCCCCAATATTAGAAAATTATGCAAAGGTGTTCATCTATCAGTAAGATAGTCTTCTGGGAACAGAAGAGAATAGGAACAAATCTAGTGTTATGGGAGAAGCTGGCAAAAGAAGACTAAGTTTGAAATAGGCGAGATTCAGCTGAAAAGCAGTAGAGGAAGAAACTCTCAGATAGAAACTCTCAGATATATATCCATATGGAAGAGGTCATGGACAACAGCTTGAAATCCTGCTTTTCTCACTCCACCTTCCTCCTCCTTCATCACTTGATTCAGAGCAGAACCTATGCAGTTCACTCCGTGCTTCCTGGTGCACATACACAGAGATGCAACACGAAGAAGAGAATAAGTGTACACTTAAATAGATGCAACATGTTACTTATAAAATTAAATACAGATGCCTCCTATGTCTATTTTTGGTCAAGAAAAGAATTCCAGAAGCCATTCTCTACCTTCCTCCCTACATTTACATAGCAGCCAATATTTTATCTGAAATACTTTAATTCTACATGCTTTAATGAGCTATGACAAGTAAAGTTTTCATATTTCATTTTTATTACATGTTTACTCAGATAAATTTCTAGCGTTATAATTAAAAACTTGTGTATTCTCCATTAACTTAAAAACATTATACTTCAGTAGTCTAGGCCTTACAAGCAAAGGGCAAAGATCCAGTACAGCTTAAGTTTCACATGTAATCAGGTTTAGTAAAAACAAATCTAAATACAACAGGGAAGCCACAAGCATAAAGTTACTTACAGGTCTGCTTAAATATACTGTATAATAGGTGACCAGATATATGTTTAGAGATTGGGATACATTACAGATATTGTAAAATTAATGTCAAGTCACTAGATAGTCCTTGATTTACAACCATTGGTTTAATGACAAAGTTATGATGGCCTTGGGGAAAAGGACTTTTGACCTGCACCAGTTCCATAGTCATCACAATTTGGGTGCTTGGCAGTTGGCTCACATTTATGATTGGTTGCAGCATCCTGCAATCACATGATCACAATTTGCAACTTAGGCAATTGCTTAGAGAATGTGAGAAATAGCAAGGATATGGCCAATTCTTCCTTGTCAAATCATCCTGCAGATTTGTTATACTGTTTAGAGAAGTCTGTGGAATATTCTTTATTGCCAATTAAATATACATACAGCTTCTGATAACAAATTCAAGATAAGTTGCAATTGTAAATCTTTCACCAAAATAACATGAAGCATATTGTAAACTCAAAAGGTTTCTGTGTAGAAAATATTCACAAGAGCTTACAAAAGAATCCAGAGAGATAGCTCAAGTTCAGGAAGATTCAAGTATAATCTTTTTCTGGTCTAAAACGACAATCCAACAAGAACATACAATCAGAGTCACAGGTAGGAGATAGGTTTGCCTCAAATAGCCATCTCTAGAAACTATTTCTCAGTTTGACTAATAGTCAGTGTTTCTTTCTTTGAAGCAGAACACTTGACTTCCTCTGCTGTCTCTTAATTTGCAGCTTGTTGCTGGGCTTGGGACTTTGACTACATTCTTAATCAGCTGATTTAGGTGTGCTCTCATCAGCTAATTCTGGTTGCAAACTGCAAGGTCTTCAGTTTATGAATCTGAAGATTCAGACTGATCAGATTATATACTTAGGTTAGGTGATTCTTCAGAAGACATGCTTTATTAATCTAGAACTTTCTTACATCAATATGTCCATTTGACAGGTTAGGAAAGGGTTCAGTAAAGAATAAGCTTGACATATTAGAAGAACTGATAGTGTTTTGTATGAATATGATATTGATAAAAGAAAATTGGTGATTGGATGTTGATCTTTTTAAATATTTTTACAGGGTTTTTGAAAAAAAATAAAAGAAATAATAACCTGTCATAGAAGAAGAGAACAGAATTTATGTGGATTTCTTTACAGGAAAGAGCATTTACCTTCCTATAAAATGTATGCAGGCATCCCCATTACTTCCTATATATAGCGGTTATCAGGGAGGTAATTGCCTTAAACTATGTATGTTTCCTAGATGAGGGCATTTGGAGCAATACATAGGCTTTGTTAAGTTCTTTAGGAAAAGATTGCTCTGAGAGTGAAATAAATAAATCCATTTACATTTCAATATTAGAATCAGTTGCTTCAGTTTACTGTCTTGACCTCTGCCAGATGTTTCAAAGATTATTAGTCATGTTTGTTGTACAATTCTGATAATTTACCCTGTTCTATAGTGTTGGTATTGCTTACCCTCACATAAGGGAAATCAACCAGATTATCAGGCTACATTTGTTACTTATTTATAAAGGCTCTAAAAGAGAACCAGTTTTGAAGAAATAGAAGTTAACAGTACAAAATTTTATTTTATTTTTTTGTCTTTCAGTCTCAAAAAACACACAGATATTTAAGTTGATCAGTAGCATGGAAACCATTTCAATATGGTTGATCACATGCTGCTCTGTTCACTACATGTTCTCCACATAATGGCAGGTGAGGTAATTAGTTCTAAGATTAGTAATTGCAGAATTGCTGTGAAAGATGGAAGAGAAGATGTTCTAAAATATATCAAAATCATCCTCCAAAGTAATTGATATGTAAAAACAGGTTCCAACAAACAGGCTGTTATATTGCAATCAAAAATGTACTAACTATATATGTCTTAGAGAAAAGAGGATGGCCAACTATATGATAAAACTAGCACTGTAACTATGAGAGGAGACTATCCTGATCCTGATTTTTTTTAATGTGCTAGTATTTTTTAATAGCCATATTGGGAAAAAATTAAATTTATTATAAATATTATTGAAATGTAGGCATTAATTCCAGAGGATGCAATCCTCTATGTCGATGAGCTATAACCAGACAAGCTTGGGTTGATTGGTGTGTTCTTTTCTTTTCAGCTTTTGCAGTTCAATTCTGTGGAACGTCTTGGTGCTGGAATTGCTGGAGTTGAAGACATCAAAGCACACCCGTTTTTTGCCACCATTGATTGGACTGAATTATCTAACTAAAAAATTGTACAAGTTGTCTATGCTTAGGCTGCAGACTTCCAACAGACAATGTTCTTGGCTTGCTGCTATTATGAAGATTTTAGATGTTTCCAGACCAGGATGAATAAATTGTAAATTGGAATCCAAACACCATCTGAAATGTTTAAACTTGATTGGACAAAAGAAAGGTGTAGTTCACACTGCTAGGGACTGACTTCAATTCTTCTTTTGTGTTGGAATCATGTGTAGCGCTAATTGCAGGGCATTACAAGCGTTTGCCATTGCATGTCACGTATATCCTTACCCCCATTTCAAATCATGGGATGGAAAAGATTTGGCACCGTTTTTGGCAGTTACCTTGTGACTGAAGTCACATCTAGCCCTGGTGTTGGTGGGGGATTATGCAAATAAGAATGGACTCCTTGTATTTGGTTTTATTTTAAATGATGATGAGTTGTGGAATTTATCTTGTACATTCCAATATCCATTAAGTATGCCAGTTGAATAGAACCCAGGGGTGGGATTCTACCAGTTCACACCTATTCGCTAGAACCAGTTGTTAACATTCTAAGCAGTTCAGAGAACTGGTTGTTAGAAGAAATTACTGGCCTAATCCTGTAAAGGAGGCAGGAAGGAAATATTCTGGTGTTGCTTACTGAAACTGCCTCTGTTAACCCTTGTGACATTCTTGGCAGGACTAGACTTCCTGTCTCTGGAACGTCTCTAGAGTTTTTTTCCCCTTCTTTGCTGGTACTTTGCTTGTGTGGAGTGACCATTCAAAGTTAGAATGGCACTGCAAAAAGTGACTTATGACAGTTTTTCACACTTACAACTGTTGCAGCATCCCCACAGTCATGAGAGGCCAGGCGAGGAGATGCATGCCTCAATGTGAGTGATATTGAGTTGGCCATGCCCAGCCAATAACATGACCACCAAGCCATGCCCACTAACTAAGCCATGCCCACAGAACTGGTTGTTAAAAAATGTGAATCCCACCCCTCATAGAATCCCCTTTTTTATCCTTCGGTAGCCTTGGCACAGTTGAATTTAAGTAGACGGAGAACAGGGGAAAAAATAACTTATCAATAACATATGCTAAATAAAATATTATGGTGCTTCTGCAAAACTTGACATTTAATATGTCTAATTTGGAGAGGGGGATGGCAGGAGAATGAAAGCTAGTATCATGCAATGTAATTCCAAAATGGTTAAGTGTCATCTCTTAAAGGATGGGAAAATGTAATCTAGCTATTGCTATTTTGTGCTTCTTGGTTGCAATGCAATGTTTGTTTTAAAGCACTAATTTTAACCTCAAGTTTTAAATCACTACAAGATCAAAAAATCTCTCATCTAGATAACTTTTAAATTATTAGTAATTTAAATGGATCAAGAAAATAGAAGGCAGAAAAAGATATGGATGTATGGAAAGCTAGCATTTATTGTATGGTAATTCATGCTTTCATATAACTCTAATATTTTTATGGTAGTTTTTTTTTCTTTTTGCTTACACGGAAAATGTTCAAGTTTGTAGAATTCCACTTACATGTACATGTGTTTTTATTTGCCTGTGTGAATTCTAAAAATGTTTTAGCTTGTAAATTTTGTTACAACTTTGTTTCTTTGTTTAGAAACATTATTTTATGTGTTTTATCAATGTGAATCCCTCCTAAGGAGGAGAGTCTTCAAACAACGGTTCTGAGAAAATTTGGAGTTTTATATTAAAGTGCTCTATCAGAAAGAATATTTGGAAACCTTTTACACGCACTGGTGTTTCACAATTGGAATTCCATTGTATGTGCCATGAATAAGCCCAACTGAAAAGGGATCGATGAGATGTCTACAAGGGATTTCTTGTGCTTTTCATGAATATTGTTTTCTTAATATATTTGCCAAAAAGCTGTTTCAGAAGACTGCTGACTTCTGATACAATTGGAGTAAATGTGATTTGGCAGTTTGTCTTTAATCTGTTGATAATTTTGTCAAATTGAGAATAAGACAACCTAAAGTTAATATTAATTTAAATAAAGGCTCGCTCTTTTAAAAGGTCATTGTGTTAGTACATGTAAAAATCTGTAATAACTACTTTAGGATGACTCATTAAGATATTAAGCTCTAAATGCATATATTAAAATACCATACAAACATGTGCCTTGTTACTTCCTTAAATTCATCCTGACACTGGCAACCCTTCCCTCTATTTGCACCTGATGCTATGCCTTTCTCAAATGTTATCTCTTATGAACAGTCTACATGGCTCTGAAATACTTCCCAGGGAGCTTAACATGGGTTATCTCCCAAGAAATTTGAGGATTGCTGTTTCAGGATTACAGGAGGAAGGAGTGAAATTTTTACTCTTCAACAGTAGAAATGAAGAGCTTTTTGTTTACAATGAAGGCAAAGTCCCCAATTAAGAAGAATTAAACCATTTTCAGGAATATTGATCAAGTTGGCAATTCCCTAATGGGACATATAGCAAAAAGAATCAAGATGATCTGAATTATAAACACCAGTATTCTTTTATCTGTGTAAATGTACACAATCTGATCAATTACATGGTGCTTATACATTATTGTATAGTACAGTCTCTTGTCTATTTGTTTCCTTTAATTTTATTTGGAGACCAAAGGGTAAATTTCTTTGGTAAAGAAATATTTAGGCTTTTTAGTAATTCCTGCTATTTATCCTAGTTCACACTGGAAGTTAAGATTTTTACAGGCCATTCCCTATGTGCATCTGACAGGCTACATCTGTTGGAAGCTAGAACTGGTGCTACTATAAAGTGGAAAAAGGAAAAGACTTCATTGATCCAAAGGAAATCTGGAAGCTCTGTTTTGTTCCTTTTGAAATTATCCTGCTCCTGATTTCCCCTACCTCCACCCCTTGTGATAAAAACACAAACCACGAGACTGTAATAACACCGTAGGCTGTAACCAGGTCACCAAAAGAATTAGTATTATGGAGGGCTATCTGATATTACATCATTCTCCAAAACTTCATTTGAACAAAACTCTTCCACTGCTACATAACAGGAACTCCCTCAGGTGAGCTGCAACAACAACTTCCTGTGCTGAGAGGTGAGGAAATTTCTGAAGCTGAGAGAAATGCAGAGCTTCCTTCCAGCAGTGGCCATGTGATGGTTTTGGAAGAGAAGAAAACTTCCAGTTGTGACCATGAACCTTTAGTCATTCTTTATTGTTGGAATTTTGAGTCTTTCTAGGATAGTCTACTCACCAGCAGGATGTTGGGAATTGCAGTCCCAAAGCAAGTAGAAGGAGTGGGCCTTTGGTTTGCTTTTGCCCGGATTTCATCTATACATTTTTAAAAATATAATATAATTAATAAAATATATTTAGTATAATATGTGTGTGTGTGTGTGTGTGTGTGTGTGTGTCTAGGTGTGTTCGGGTCTTTTCCCGTGTAAGATTAAGAGTATTTTGGCGACGTTTCGGCGAGGTCCCACTCGCCATCCTCAGGCTGGTGCTTTTGGCTTCGTGCCAGTGCAAGCAGTGTGTGATCGGAGCTGCCATCTCTATAAATACTGGGGGAGGGGCTGGTGTTCTGGGCTGGTTGGCTGCGCTGCTGCCTCTTGATTGGTTGATATCCTTCTAGCAGCAATTTTTAAGATTGCTGAATGTGTCAGTTCTGAATCAGGTAACAATTTTTCCCCCCTCCCTGTGGAAAAAGAATAAATGAATGAAAACAAATGACTAAGGCAGCAGAGGGGAAAATAGCACCATATCCAAAGATGTGCTACGTGCTGGGGAAATTGATGCGTCTTTGCTTAATCCTGAAACCTGCCCTGGAAGATGGGGTACCCATGGAACAAAGGGAGAGAAATAAGGGTGGAAAGGGATGGAACTTTCATTGCATAAACAGAGGCCCATTTCTTAGCCTCAAATATTACCCAATGTCTGTCTTCATGGTGGTCTCAGCTGGTAACTCACTAGTGGGATTTACAAGTGATCTAACTACATCGTCAAAGCTTACTGCACCGTACAAATTTCAATGATCTTTTAAAAAAATATGTATGTTTGAGTTTTGGGACTCAGTTGAGAGATGCCCCCATCCCTAACCTAAAGTTAGTTAGCTAGCTACTTAGCTAGCTCATTCATTCATTCATTCATTCATTCAATTTCTATAGCCACCCAGCTCACAGTCAATGCCTCTGGGTGGCTTATTTTCTTGCATAACTACTCAAAATATTTGGAAGAAAAACCTAGGATGCAATCAAGAAAAACCTAAGACTGAGCAGGAATCTTCCATTAGCATTTGGAAGAAGAGAATGGAAAAATGCATGGTGTGAGGAAGACAGAAGGGTTCAGTGTCTTACAAAAAAGGGCCCGGATAAGATCTTTGAATACTAGCACTGAATGTTATGTGCTCCCAGCTTACATCTTTATAATTTCCTCTCCTAAGAAGGTGGGGTGCAAGGGGAGAAGGGCTGGTGGCAATGGAAGACTTGTGGGGAAGCATGAAGAAAATAAGAATTCCGAGAGAGGAAAAAGAAGATTTGTGCAATACTCCAACGTGTCAAGGTAAACTTCAACTTTTCACAAGAACAAAAAGTTTGAATCACTGTTTCACCATCTGACAGTAGATATATTATCTTTTTTATTATTCTTCATCCCATCATTATATAGTGAAAACAGAACTGAAAATAGTTGTTTAAAACAAGGGCTAAAATGTCTGGGCTACAAAAATCCAGACAACCCATACATGGCAGAAAATATATTTTCTATCTGTTGTTACTGCTATCCAGTGTGCACAGTTTTGCAATCTCTATAGAGTAATCCTATTAAAAGTGAAGATTTAACCTAATGTATACTCCAATCAGGTAGAAAAATAACTTTTAATCAGAAAGGGCTGTTGTTTTTGATGTCAGCAAATAATATTTATTTCCCCCATTGTTGAAAAAAGAAAGAAGGGAAGAAGCCACCCATATAATTGTAGGTAGAGTTAATTATTTGCTGAAAGGGGATTGTATCATATGCTGGATTAAAATCCCCTCACACCCTCACTAAAGAGGGGATTTCGATCCTGCATGTGATACAAAGAGAGCATAGTAGCAGTCTGTAGACAATCTATGGATATCTCCCACCTGGCAATTCTAAAGTGAGGCAGCTCCTTCCTTGCGAATCTAAATCGCTTCGAATCTAAATCAAACGTAA